TTCATGCCTAAGGTAGGACTAGAACTCACAATCTTCAGAAATTCATCGTTTCAGGCCACCCCAGGCTAGTTGGTTTAAAAATCAGAAGTTAAATATGTTGGTAAAAGTAAAAGTTCCCCTTGCACATACGTGCTAGTCATTTCTGGTTCTGGGGGGCGGTGCTCATTTCTGTGACAAAGCCGAAGAGCCGGCGCTGTCCGAAGACGTCTCTTGGTCATGTGGCCAGCAGAACTAAATGCCGAAGGTGCACAGAACACTGTTCCCTTCCCACCAAAGGGGTCCCTATTTTCCTACTTGCATTTTTTTAACGTGCTTTCGTAACTGCTAGGTTGGCAGAAGCTGGGATATACCGTGATGCGGCGCTAGGGATTCGAACCGCCATTCCGCCGACCTTTCTGATCGACAAGCTCAGCATCTTTAGCCACTGAACCACCGCGTCCCTATAGTTGGTTCCATATTTGCACATAAAATGAAAAGCACACAAGACAATCGGGAAGATCGCCTTTAAGATTAGCAGATAAAAGAGAAATTTCCAGTGTTTGTCAGAAGGCGCGAAAGAGGAAATTAAACTCTCGGTATCGACTAATTAAATAGGGAGGGGAGATCAAGACGAGCGGTTATGGAATGGAGGCAGCCTTTGGAGATGGAGGGTGTTTGGATGGTTCGGCGGGGTGAGAAATCTGGCTCTTAACACTGGGTCACTTTTTCCAAGGGTCCAGGAAAGGTCTGCCTGAGGTTAGTGCAACCAGCACTTTAGTCCATCAGGAGAAGCAGGGCCATCGGTGGTGACTCTTCAGGATGGCCGTTTCTCGCCTCCGGTGCAGTTCCTTGTTCCTCTTGGGATGGGAAGTTCTGCAAGGTGAGATGCCTGATATTTACTTGGCCCATCTGTTGCTTCCAACGGGAAGGGCAAATTCCTCGGGGTCTCCACTTCCATGTGGCTATTACTCTTTGATTTAAAATGAGGGGAAGAAGTAATGGGTGGAAGCTTGGGAAGAGGGATCCAACCTAGGAGAAATTTCCTGACCGTGAGGACAATTGATCGATGGGATGTCTTGCTGCCCACAGTTTTGGGTGCTCTGGAGGTTTTCAATAAAAGGTTGGACAACCATTTGTCTGGGACAGATCAATGCCTCCTAGCCTGGGCAGAAGGTTGGACTAGAAGACCTCCAAGGTCCCCTCCAGTTCTAGGATCCTATTATTTAAAATGGAAGGAATTAGGTAGAAGAAAACCAGGGAAGGGAAGGGAGGAGGGAAGGGAAGGGAGGAGAGAAGGGAAGAGAAGGGAAGGGAAGGGAGGAGAGAAGGGAAGGGAGGAGGGAAGGGAAGAGAAGGGAAGGGAAGGGAGGAGAGAAGGGAAGGGAAGGGAAGGGAAGGGAGGGGGAGGGGAGGGGAAGGGAGGAGGGAAGGGAAGGGAGGAGAGAAGGGAAGAGAAAGGAAGGGAAGGGAGGAGAGAAGGGAAGGGAAGAGATTGGAAGGGAAGGGAGGAGAGAAGAGAAGGGAGGAAGAACACACACACACCTACTGCCTCAGCAAATACCACATTTGGATGACAGCTATCCTTGTATTGAATTATTGGACTTGGCACTTATTCCCTATATTTCTCTCCCATTTTTCTTCATGGGTTCAAAGTCCCGTGTTCTCTCTCACTCCTCCAGACAACCCTGTGAGGTTGGTTGGGAGTCGGCTGAAAGAAAGGAAGGGGCCCTGGAGATTTCCTGAGGAGACCAAGCTGGAGATGCTTGGAGACTCTCTGTGGACAGGTAGAAGAGGGTTTCCCAGGACATTTGCCTTGTGGGGGCTCCTGAAAGAGCCCCCCTTCTCCCTCCCCCTATCCCACAGCTCCCTTGCCATGTCCTGGAGTGGCAGATGCTGGAGTCGGTGTCCCTCCCACCCACCCCAGTAATCTGCATTTCTGTTTTGACTCTCATAACATTTGAATTAATTCTACAGAGGAAACCGAAAACTGGCTTTATTGTGTTTGCTCAGAATCTGATTACGGCTGTTTTTGCCTTGGGAAAGTTCAGGTTGTGACTTTGGCCTGGGTGGATCCTTCCCTTAACGGCACCACAGTGCACGGCAGGCAGTGTTGTAAAGTGCTTTGGCAATAACCCAGGATGTGTCCCCGCCCCTCACAATTCTTTGTACGTGGAACTCAAGCAAAAACATTTGAGAAGAACACCAAGTTCCTAATGCGGAACCTTCCCTTGTACCCGGCTGGTAGATGATTCGCAGGTAGACTGCCCCAGAAAGTGGAGGTGTGATGACCCAGTGTGTGACACAAAGATAACAAAGTCACAAAAGTAGAATAAATTCCCTTTAATGCCTCCAACTTGGTCTCCAAAGTCCAATTATCCTCAGTTGGAGATCAAACTCTTCCAAAAACAGTCTACGAAGGGAAGAAACGCAGTCCAAACCCAAAGTAAAGATAATTAGAAATTTAAAAACCAACACAAAACACCCTGAAGTAATTAACATGGCAGGGCAGGATGATAAATTGCAGACTTCCAAAGGATAACGCAGCACACAAGGTTGGGAGGATGCCAAAACCCAGAAAAGCCTGACAAAGCTAATGCACGCTTTGCTTTCAGCAAGGAGCTGTGTGCAAACACCCCTCTTATATCCTCTTCTTCCAGCTGCAACTAATGAAGGGAATCAGGGCCCTTTCCTCCCCCATAAGCCATGCCACCCACGTTGCTCCCTTCTCCGTTCCTTCCTGCATTCCCTAGGATGAAGAGGGGATGGCCCTGGGTCTTCCTCTGAATGCCCAGCTGGACTGTGCCCTTCCCCAGTTTCTTCCACAGCCACCAGAGCCACACTCCCACTCCCTGTCGCCCCTTCAGAATCAGGCTTCAATAAGGGCATGGCAGGAGGTTTCATTTAGCTTGGCTGACGTATGCAACAGTCCAATCTACACACCTGAACTTTGCTGGCTTTTGGCTTCCTTTTGGGCATTTGGGTCCTAAACTGTCCCAACAGGTGTCCTGGCTTGGCTCTTCGGCTGTGGCCACAGTGTTGTGTAAATACTCACAGTATCAACACACAGTATCAACACACACATCCCCGCTGTACATTGTGTGCAGGCACAGTCCTCCCTGGCGCCCCCCCCTTTTTTTGCCAAAAAACAAAGATGTTCCACAGCAACATTGGGACTTTTCCAGCCCAGCATCCTCCAAGGGAAACATGCACAAAACATGCCCTTTCTTCCACTTGGCTGCAGTTCAGAGATGCCTCTGCGCACCAGGATAGTCGGAACCAAGGAGGAAGGTGAAAGAAAAGAAGGAATGTAGAACTGGTTTAGATCAGCCGTTAAAGGACTCAGAGATGGGGGTCCTCTCCTCTCCTTCTATCCCCTTTCTCTTCCCGTCTCTCCTCTCTTCCCTCCCCTCCTATCCTATCCTATAATTCTTTATTGGCCAAGTGTGACTGGACACACAAGGAGTTTGTCTTGGTGCAAATGCTCTCAGTATACATAAAATAAAAGATACATTCATCAAGAGTCAAGAATCATAAGGGACAACACTTAATGATAGTCATAGGGTACAATAATCAAATCATACTAGGAAACAGTCAATATAAATTGTAAGGATACAAGCGACAAAGTTACAGTCATACAATCACAAATGGGAGGGGATGGGTGATAAGGAGGGATGAGAAGATTAACAGTAATAGTAGTGCAGACTTTGTAAATAGTTGGACAATGTTGAGGGAATTATTTGTTTAGCAGAGAAAAAACTCATTGTGTCTAGTTGTTCTGGTGTGCGGTGCTCTATAGTTTCGTTTTGAGGGAAGGAGTTGAAACAGTTTATGTCCATGATATGAGAGGTCTGTAGATATTTTCACAGCCCTCTTTTTGGCTCGTGCAGGATACAGGTCCTCGATGGAAGGTAGGTTGGTAGTAATTGTTAATTGTTTTTTCTTCAGTCCTAATTACTCTCTGGAGTCTGTGTCTGTCCTGTTGGGTTGCAGAGCCAAACCAGACAGTTATAGAGGTGCAGATGACAGATTCCATCATTCCTCTGCAGAACTAGCAGCTCCTTGGACAGTTTGAGCTTCCTGAGTTGGCAAAAGGGCAGAGATGGGAGGTGAAATAGGCAGCTGGGGCCCAATGGGAGGTAATCCCTTACTTTACTAAGGGTCAGGACTGAGATGACCAAGCCTGGAATGGCTTGGATTGTGGTAAGCAATCACTTAACAACCTGAAATTCTCAGTTAATGACCAAAGCAGATGGTGCCAATTGTAAGTCAATGGAGTTGTGTGATGTCTCACTTTATGGCCATAAGGACAGTGAAAATTCCGGTCCTAACTATCAATGTAAGCCGAGGACTATTTGCGCAACTCAGAGCGGTGCAGAAGACCAAAAGTAAGCTCGGATCATGCTCCAGACCTCCACCTCTGTGGCTTTGTGCAGAAGTAACAAGGGCAGGGCCACCAAACTCTCTCAAAATCTTGTTCGAAACCTCTGTTCCTTTTAATTCCAGATGCCTGGGAGAAGAGGAGGCCATGACTCGCTGGAGGAGAAAGCGATGTGCCTGGGTATCATTCAATGAATATTCTTGCCAGTGGTGGGATTTAAACATTTTTACTTCCGGTTCTGTGGGCGTGGCTTGGTGGGCATGGCAGGGGAAGATTACTGCAAAATCCCCCTTCCCTTCCCACCCCACTAACCTGCTTTCCAGCTCCATTCTCCTGTGCAGGGCAACCAAAGGAGACCCAGCCGACCAGCTGGGACTCAATGGGAGGCGGAGAAGAGATGGGGGGGGGGCAGTCAGAGGCGGTATTGGCCAGTTGTCCGAACTACTCAAAATTTCCACTACAGGTTCTCCAGAACCAGTCAGAACCGGCTGAATATCACTTCTGATTCTTGCACCATTAAGACGCTGAAGCCGAGTTCCAATTCGGAAAAGGCATGTCCCCAGTGTCACAGACCTTTGATTCAATAAAGACACAGATCGGAATGACGATCATGGAATTTGGCTCAGGTCCGAAGCACCCTTCCTCATGGTCCAGAAGGTGCTACTCCACATCCTCCCATTGCAGCAGAGTCTTCTTTCTCTACTTCCAAGACAGTGGAGAAGGCGGTATCCTCCTTCATTCCGCTTTGAGGATCTTGGGGGAGATCGGATGGGCCAAGAGGCAGAACCTCCAGCGCCCCTTCCTCCCAGACCTTGTGGGAGGAGAACAACTGGTAGGAGGCGATGGAGGACAGCCTGCGGAAGGTATCCTTCATCGCTTCTTGGAACTCCCGGCGGATCAAGCAGTAGAGGATGGGGTTGAGGCAGCTGTTGGCATGGGCCAAGCAAGTGGTCAGGGGGAAGACGTAAGTGTGGAGGTAGTGGAAGGTGTCGTCCATGGGCAGAGCCCTGAATTTCACCAGAATGCCCCAGAAAGTGACCACATGGTTAGGGAACCAGCAGACGAAGAAGCAGCTGACCACCAGGCGGACAGTGGCGGAGACCCGGTTATGCCGCGTTAGGCTGTGGCTGGTAATGTGGTGAAGTTTCAGAAACCGGAGGAGGAGGAGGTAGGAAGTCAAGATGATGACCAAGGGAACCGCAAAAGCAAACACCACTCTCTGGAGTTGGTAGATTCCCAAGTGATACGGGCTGGGGAATCGGAAGAGGCAGAGTTCCACCCCGGCTACACTTACTACTCCGGTGTAGACGGTTGTCGGTACGGTGGCTCCCATCGCCACGGCCCAAAGGGTGACTGTAATGCCCTTGGCCACTCGGGGCGTCATCCTGTACCCCTCTTCCACAGCAGAGACTACCGACCAGTAGCGGGTGACCGCCATGGCCGTGAGCAAGAAGACATTGGCATAGATGCTGAGGAGGGTCAAGGAAGGGATGGCTTTGCACATGGCTTGGCCGAAGGGCCACTGGAAATCCAGCGCTGCCTCCGTCGCCCAGAAAGGCAGCATCAGGGAGAGCTGGAAGTCGGCGGCGGCGAGGCCAAAGACCAGGATGTTAATGGCGGTCGTGGACCGGTCCTTCTGCCTCCAGATGAGGTACATCACCAGGCTGTTTCCCAAGAGGCCCACCGCGCACACCAATAGGTAAACCGTGGTGATGAATATTCTTACGCTGAACAAAACATTCGATGAGACCAAGGCGGTGTCAGCAGCAGCATCGCTGAACAGGTCAAATATTCCCGCCGAGGTCCCGTTTGTGAGGCTGACGTTCCACCCGGGACCCCAAAGCCCATTCAAATCCATCTTGGAACAGAAACAGATTCCCTGAAAGATCCTTTTCCCTTCTGACCATTGCACGGTGGAGGCTGGGATGAAGCTGCAATATGTTCCCAAGAAAATATCTGTCCAGCTCTTCCAGGAGGAGGGAGACCCTCCCCCAGAGCAGCTCTCAATCAATCAATCAAGCAGAAGAGAGTTAGAAGGGACCTTGGAGGTCTTACAGTCTTCTAGATGTGCTGCTTCCGGGCCTCCAACAACAACAGGGAACTCTAGCTTTCAGCTTTCCTTTCAGTATCCAAATCCTTGCTGGAGCCAAAGCTGCCGACTTGCTGGGGAAAGAGAAAAGGACGGACTTGCTCGCTCGCCACGCCCATCTTGAAGACCAAGGACACAGCCTTCCTGTCAGGTGGGCAGGGCAAGGGAGCCTCACTGGCATGCCTGTGGCGCTCCTTATCTCCGACTGCACACACAAACCTTTTATGGAGGGGGCTTCGGGAAGCCAACCTGCAGCAGGTATTTTCTACCTCAATTGATGCTGGCTGCTTGTTTGTGCTATCTGTTCTGATATAGGCCAGCGAAACACAAACACTAACCTCACAATCGATACAAAAGCTATGAGTGTTGCAAAGAGCCATGGAAAGATACAAGCTCGGCATTACACATTACCAGTCCACAATGGAAAAATGTCCTCTCATATTGCATGAGGGTGTGGTATGCTGGCTCGACAGACGCAGATAGAAAGACACTACAGAGGGTGGTGAGCACAGCACAAAACATCGTGGGCTGTTCCCTGACACTGCTAGATGACCTCGCTAGGGCTCGCTGCCTTAGAAGAGCGAGGAAAATCCTCAGGGACGACTCACACCCCGGTCAGCCCTTCTTCACTCTCCTGCCATCGGGCAGAAGATATAGAAGCAGAGCCAGTGGTACGAACAGGCTGAAGAACAGTTTCTACCCGTGGGCAGTCAGACTCCTGAACAGAAAATAACTTCATGTCAACATAGTATGATAGACTTGTGGTGCCGGTGCGTTGTGCAACAAGGTCACATAGTGTAATGAGATTGGGACTGGGTTAGGGACTTCTGTCCTCACTGTGAGTTGTGTTGGGGGGGGGGAATGCATGAAGGGAGGCTCAGCCAATCTCATTGTACCCATGTTGTACTCTGACAATAAAGGTAATAATAACCAGAGAAGATGGAAAAACCTGCACGTGGCTTAGAGAACAAATGGAAGTCAATCAATCAATCAACTAATCAATCAGAACAGAGTTGGAAGGGACCTTGGAGGTCTTCTAGTCTAACTCCCTGCTCAAGCAAGAGAGCCTATATCAGTGGTGGCTAACCTTTTTGGGCTCCTGTGCCAAAAATTGTGCACGCGCTTGCATGCTCATGCTCACGTGCCAGCACCCCCCACACCCCCTATGCATGCGTGCGCAATCCTCACCCACCAAGCCACATCCCTCTTACCTACACTGCACCTCACAACTGATTTTCAGCTGGTTTCAGGCCTTTTTAGGCCTCCCAGAGGCTTCAGGAAGGCTTCTGCAGGCTTTGCAGGCTGAAAACTAGCCCCGTTTTGTCACTTCCGGTATTTTCGGAAAAACAGGAAGTGATGAAACAGGGCTAGTTTTTATCCTGCAAAGCCTGCAGAAGCCTTCCTCAAGTCTTTGGGAGGCTGAAAAAGGCCTCAAACTGGCTAAAACTCAGCTGTGAGGCACATGTATGCGCAGTGAGGTAAGTTTGCCTGCAGCCCGCATGCCGGCACAAATGGCTTTGCGTGCCATAGGTTTGCTATCATGGGCCTATATCATTTCAGACAAACGGCTGTCCAATCTCTTCTTAAATACCTCCAGGGATGGATCACACACAAGGTCTGGAGGGAAGCCATTCCCCTGATTATTTGTTCTACCTGGCAGGAAGTTGCTCCTTACTTCTAGATTGGATCTGTCTTTGACAAGCTTCCACCCATTACTTCTTGTCCTGTCAAGAGAGTAAAAGAATGGAGATGGAAACGGGCTGCTCCTGTAGCAAGAAGAACCGATGGCAGGGGGCCAAGGCAGTTGTAGAATGGATCCCACTGGATTAGAAAGCATGCATGAAAGAGACCTAAAACGAGATGGATTGGCAATATCAGCAAGTGGCAAAGAAAAGTCCAGGACCGTATGGGTTAGAAACAGGCGGAAGAGGCCTTCAGACAGCGGTTACAACGGCACCAACCCAGAAAGCTCAAACTGCCCAAGGAGCTGCTAGTTTTACAGAGGAAATATTGAGTCTGTCATCTGCACCTCTATAACTGCCTGGTTTGGCTCTGCAGCCCAACAGGACAGACACAGACTCCAGAGAGGAATTAGGACTGCAGAAAAAACAATGGCTACCAACCTGCCTTCCATCGAGGACCAGTATACTGCACGAGTCAAAAAAGAGGGCTGTGAAAATATTTACAGACCCCTCACATCCTGGACATAAACTGTTACAAATCCTTTACTCAAAATGACACTATGGAGCCCTGCACACCAGAACAACTAGACACAAGGGGAGGTTTTTCCCCAACGCCATCACTCTGCTAAACAAATAATTCACCCAACACTGTCCAACTATTTACTAAGTCTGCACTACTATTACTATTAGCCTTCTCATCACTCCTTATCACCCATCCCCTCCCACTTGTGACTGTATGACTGTGACTTCGTTGCTTGTATCCTTATGATTTGTACTGACTGTTTTCTAGTATGATTTGATTGCTTATTATACCCTATGACTATCATGACGTATTGTACCTTAGGATTCTTGACTCTGGGAGAATGTATCTTTTCTTTTATGTACACTGAAAGCAGATGCACCAAGACAAATTCCTTGTGTGTCCAATCACACTTGGCCAATAAGGAATTCTATTCTATTTTTATGCAAAAAAATTAAATTCAATGATAGAAATTTTGGGAGTTTCATCCCAGGAAGCTTTCAAGAAGAGACTGGACTGCCATCTGCCAGAAATGGTATGTAGGGTCTCCTGCTTGGGCAGGGGGAGGGTTGGACTCGATGACCTCCAAGGTCCCTTCCAATTCTATTCATCTGTATCTGGTGACCATTTGCACTGACAGTGTAACTTCAGGAAAGCAGAAGAGACCACCAAAATAACAACAGCAATAACCAAGCTCAATATGTGCCGTTCTAGCTGCATTCGGCGAAGAAGTCAAAAAAATGGCTAAAAAGTTATCTAAAAAGCTTCTTAGGATTAGAACCATTTTAAAAAAAATAAAAGTTATGCTGTGCCGCTTCTTCTTTTAGCGTGTTGAATAGCACACTCTAGTGGCTAAAGAGAAGAACTGACTCATTAAACAGATAATTTATCCACCATCCAGTCAGAGCTGAAGAAGCTTCTTGGATGAGAAGCGAAATGTCTTTTAAAAAAACACCGAAAGTCCAGTTGGGGAAAAAAGAAACACTTTTGGGATAGCACTGATGATGTTATCTAGTTGGGTAATGAAACAACCAAACTCAGAGAACATCAAGGATTCCATAGTCATCTCCTCCTCCTCCTCCTCCTCCTCCTCCTCCTCTTCTTCTCCACAAACCCCACTCTCTTCTAGCACTGATGATGTTCTCTAGTTGGGTAATGAGAAGAAAACAAGGCTCAGGGAGCACCAAGGACCTTGATGGACACTCTGCCTCCCAGCTGATCACTCACCAAGCAATGGCAAAACAAACCCTCAATTTTGTGACTTTCTTGTAAATGTCAGCTGTTTGGAGGGCATGTGGGTCAATCTCTTGGATTCTCTTTCCATCCAGAGAATTCTCAGGCTCCAGGAAACCCACCTGGGCCCTCAAACATAGCTGAGCTCTGCATATCCATAGTTGACCTTGGTTGACTGAAGCTTCTCACAAGGCTTAGCTAGGCTTCTATTCCCCACCACCACCTTTGTTCTTACAGACCAATCTTCCCCTCCCCAGTTGCTAATGTCAGGCTGTCGGCTTACGAAGCTTGGATAGGAGGCAGCCAGATGTGGTCTTCAGCCGGTTCTAATCAGTTCTGGAGAACCGGGAGCGGAAATGTTGAGTAGTTTGGAAAACTGGCAAATATCGCCTCTGACTGGCCCCGCCTCCATCTATTCTCCACCTCCCGAGTCCCGGCTGGGTCTTCTTTGGTTGCCTTGCACAGGAAAACGGAGCTGGAAAGTAGGTTAGTGGGGTGGGGAGGGAATGGGGATTTTGCAGTATCCTTCCACCTGCCACGCCCAACAAGCCACGCCCACAGAACCAGTAGTAAAAAAAATATGAATCCCACTGTTGGAAGAATTATCCTTCTGGGTTCAGTTCCAAGTGGAGGGAAAAGACGCTGGAAACATGGAGGCTGTTGGGAAAGATGTTTTAATGGTGGTCAGGACCACACGGCTTGGAGCTCCAAAGTGAAAAAGATGATCACATGCTTCAAGAGGTTGGGTGAAGGAAAAGAAGGGAGGCCTGAGATGCTGAGAGTCCCTTAAAAACCCTCTGTGGGATTTGAATTGGAGCTTGTATTCTGATTGGTTGTCAGGCTCCCATGGGGCCATGCAGGGGCAACTCTTGTAGGCTGTCCTGAGTGCCAGGCTTGGTTGAGCCTTGCTGGATGATGATGTAATGAAAAGGGCTTTGGACAATTCCTATTATAGCTCTACCTGGAGTAGATCTTTGTTATGTAAAATATTCTGGCCCAGGCCTTAATGGCCCACCCATTAACAAAGGTGGGGGTGAGCTTCTGCTTCTGAGTCTCTACTCTTTTTAGGGGAAATATTTTGCCTTTTTAATATTTCCTAGGATATTTCATTTTCTAGGAGAGGGTGGGTGCTAACTTCCTACACCACCTGTGAGGACCCAGGATGGGATACAAAATAAACACAGTCACAAAAAACAGGTGAAGCCCCTTTTATTCCTTCCCTTTGCTTCCAAGCTCCAAATATCCTTGACTGTGTTAGAAATAAGAAAATTCAAAAATAAAATATAGGTGAATAGAATGGTATATTATAGTATTAAGAAGACAGTTGCTCTATAGACATTTACTATCTTGATGTAACCTGTAAATATATATTTTTAATACATTTACTCATTGTTAAACATGTCCCTGCAATCTATTACATCCTCCTGTATCAAGTAATGCCACCCCTATTTCCTCCAGGATTAGGAGGACAATAGGATAAGACATAAACCATTGCCCTAACTTTCTTTAATCAATTGAAGTTAGATTTTGTTTTTCAAAGCATCTGCTTAAGTTTACCAGACTTTTACTTTGCATAGGTGAATACGTTAGAGATGCATGTTGTTTTACGAAGATGTCCTGAATGTAACATTAATATGTAACAAGTGTGGTGTTAGGAATAGATATTTCTTTGTTTTCAGACCTTTAGAAAGAAGGAACATGCCGAAGGAACATTCTTTAATGCCAAGTAAGATAAGATGTGATGGGAGGTCATTGGGAGGTATCAAAGGAGATGATGTGGTCTCCATAAGGCGCCTCAGATTAGCTGTACTCGGTCACTGGGTCGATGTAGGAGGGGCATTGGGGGGGGCGTCGGCATAGAAGAACTATAAAATGTAATGTATTGAAATCTTAAGGTGTGGTTCTTGGCTCAAACTTCATGTTGAAGTCAGCTGAGATTCTACCGCTCTTTGCAAACAGCTTAACAATAAATTCTCTGTGTTTTCACCGATCCAAGTTTTTGTCATTTGGATTCATTTCCAACAACTGGAGACAAAAAACTCCCACATGAGCAGTTACCAGAAGGAGGAAATTCCGTTTAAATTATAAAGAGTAAAAAACAACACAAACCAGGCAAGATAAGGGCTGGAGGACATCCACAGATAACAGAACACACACCAGGAAGGATGCCAAACTCAGAGAGGAACCATAAACTAGAGATATTTCCATGCTTTGTTTCCAGCGTTCGCCCGTACTCTTATTCAGTTGTCACAGCTGCAGCCCATGAAGGGGATCAAGGCCCTTTCCTCCCCCGTAGTCCACGCCATTCACGTTGCTCCCTTCTCTGTTCCTCCCCTGCGTGCCCTAGGGTGGAGAAGGGACGGGCCTGGGTCCTCCTCTGACTGCCCAGCCAGCCTCTGCCCTTCCCCAGCCTCCTCCACAACCTCCAGAGCCACATTTCCACTCCCTGTTGGTTGTTCCTCCTCTCCCTCAGAGTCAGTTTCCACCAGGGCCATGACACCACCACTGGAGGCAGCCATGACACATAGAGGGGCAAAGCAAAAGCCCACGGCAGACCCCTATTTCCCACAGCTGGACAAAGCAAAGTCTTTCTAGGGAGAGGCTTTCTTGAACAAGCCATTATAGCATTGTGCTGTGGGTGTGAAAATACGAAGGTTGGATGGGATTTGGACAAGAAAGGAACACACGCCGGAGCTCTCATGATGACAGCTTTATTAAGACTAATGGAATTAACAGAATATTGATTTTTGTCTTCTCGAAGGTGAGGATGGAATTGAGGAGCAAGAAAAGGCCCCCATGTATGTCATGGAACAATTTCAGAAAGTCAGAAAAGGTGAATTTGGATGTCAACAAACCATTTCATTCATGATTTGCGAATGGCCATACATGGGATCTTGTTTGGAAGAAACCAAGCTGCACCCAAGGGGTTCCTTGGCAGCTGGACACACTCAGGATCATTTGTCCACCTCAGCCATTCAGGAACAGCTCATGCTTAACAGCTGTGTGCTCTCCAGCCAAGGACGGGACAAGATCACAAAGTGACAGGTTAGTTTCTGGAAGGGAAAAAAGAGAGAAACCCAGAGAGTCAGTGCTTAAGATAGAAAAAAAGATAATATACCAAAAAGTTGTTTATGATTTCGCGCATTTAATTTCGTGCAGATTGTCTGCTGGGAAATACCTAGGGAAAGAAATTACCCAGTTATGATGCTGTGAGATGCTCTAGGTGAGGGGCTCTTCCCTATCCACACTGAAACTCATAATATTCATTGTTATAATTTGTCTTCACATTTCTTTCTTTTACTACGCTGTATGAATAGAAACCATCTATGATATGCATTGAAATGTGGTTCAGAGAAGTGGCTGCTAAGCGGAGACAAGGCCGACTTCATCAACCCAGCTGCAAAAATATAACCAGAATTAGGCATCTAAACTCACCTCCTGCTGATCCCGGAGAAGGAGCTCACATCTCTGGATATCGCTGAATGGCAGTGACCCACTGCTCTTTCCACACACCGTTTTCCCCATTTCCACCGTAAGATAGTATTTCATTCCTGCAACCACCTGGATTTTAAAAATAGGTACCACAATGATTAGGTAATCATAGCAAAAATAGTCATAATGCATAAGTTCTGAACCATGCTTAATTTCATCAATGGCAACCTCAGAAGTATTATATAGCTTGAGAGCAAGAAAATCAGCTCGGCAGGAAATATTTCTGTACCAAATAGTCATGTCCTTTCAGCTCACAATTTGCTCAAGACACAATAGAGTCCTTCCCTGCAACACCCACCCCTAAATGCCTCCAGTGCCAACCCCTCCCCATTTCCCCTCTATTGTTTCCAAAACCCTTTCCCAAAAACTTTGGAATATCCATCAGTGCATTGATGATGTTACCTAGCTTGCTAATGAAACATCTTCAAGAAAACAATCAAGCTCAGAGTGTACCAAAGGACCCCACGGACCTACTGAGGCTGTCCACCTACCCCGACTGTCTCTCACACACATACCTGGGATTGTGCCTTCACAATACGCAGCTCCTTGAAATAGTTGGCATTATTGCTGCGCTCGTTGAATTGTTCCACAGCGAAGGCGGCAGCTTTCTTGACCTCCTCAGTTGTGACGGGTACAGGAAAAGGAGCCCCAGGCATTGGCACCTCCTGCAGCAGCACCGAGGGCAGCATCAGGAAGGAGCAGAGGAGGAAGAGAGGGCAACGCAGCTGGGAGAGCGCCATGGGGCTGGTGAGAGAGAGAGAGGCTGGCAGGAGCACAAGTTGAGCAAGCAGGCAACCCCAACACTCGCACTGAACCGAACCTGGCACGGTGCTGACAGATATAGCCCGGAATGGCAGCGAATCATGGGAATGTTTGCAGATCATTATCTGCATCTTATTTGCCCATCATTATTTGCCCATATATCAAGTGAACAAATTATTAAGTCAATAATTGGAAGATAAGAACAGCTGATCCACTTGACCAGCTGATCAGCTGATCTAACCTGAGATAGCAAACACACCCAGCACTTAAACCCATTCCGCCCCATTTGCCGCCTTAACTGAGATTAGACTAACCGTTTTGCATGGTTTACAATCATCCATGGTAGTGCTTAAAATAATCCATGGTAGTGTTTATAGTAATTCACTGTAGTGAGCAGGGGGTTGGACTAGAAGACCTCCAAGTTCCCTTCCAGCTCTATTCCGGTTGTTTGGTTGGTTGTTCCAGGAAGGAAAAGAAAAGGAGAGGAGGAAAAGCTACTCTTGAAAAGCATGACAAGATGCAGGCTAATGAAATCAATCAGAATAGAACTGGAAAGGATCTTGGAGGTCTTCTAGTCCAACCCCCTGCTCAAGCAGGAGAACTACACGGCCATAAGATGGAGCCAGAAACCTGGTTTGTGCTCTTCTTGCATTTCCTTATTGCCTTTTGCCTGATCGTTGGTCTGCTGGAATTGCTGTGAGTCTTGCAAACTGTTAGGAAACTCCATTTACTGAACTTTGTTTATGATACTGGACTTCGTTTTTGGATTATCCCTGGACTGATTGTGTTGAATACTACCTGATTAGTGTAATTAATTATTACGGTGATTATTGATTAGTTAAATTAATTGACTAGTGTGATTAGTATAATAGACTGTTTGGCACGATATTACTTTGTTGATTACCACAATACCTTGTTTGATTGAACAACCTAATCAACAAACCATCTAAACAAACCCACCATGCCAGGAAAACAATCCAATGTCAAACCTCAATCTAAAAAGAAAGAAACCCTTACTAAAGAACCACAAGACTCTTGCTCTTGCCTTATTTGTAAGGAATCTTTAAAGGAGAGTGAAGATTACATCAAATGTTCTCTTTGTAACAACTACGCTCACCATAATTGCTTAGGATTACCCAAGCAAATGGCTCTATTCCTAAAAACATCCGCCAATGCTTTTCCATATTTCTGTCTGCCATGCAGACCCAAACTAGAAAAATATTTACCCTGTTTGAAAGAGTCAATACCACTGAAACACGTATAACATCCTTTGACACCATTGTAGCATCCCTGGACACTCTACAAACTAGATTGGCAAACCTTGAAAAAAAAGAGACAGCACTAAAAATGAACATCAAACATCTACAAACCATATCTCTACTCAACAACCGCAACCAAAACCCAATCCACAAAAAACAACAAATCCTACAAATATTGATATCTCCATCCTCATCAAAGAAGCTATTGAGCGTGAACGGAAGCGACCAAATGCCATTTTATTTGGTCTAGAGGTCAATGATAATGATGACATCTCTAATGTTCGAAACATCATCAGAGAAAATCAAGCATCAACTATCTCCCCTGAAGAAATACTTGATATTTCCCGTGTCGGTCCTGAGCTTAAAAACGAAGATAGCTTGATGATCCCACACTCTTGGCCATGTTTGATACCTGAAGACAGTGGCGGTTTTAAAAGCTGCTTAAAAAAGACAATGGCCCCTCAGGGACTGTATTTGGACAGCCCAGTAAGAAAATGAATTTCTTAATCTTTTTAAGTAGTTGCAGCATCTAGAAATTTCTCTTCCTGCCAGCAAGAAAACCCTTAAATCAGTCAAGTCACTAAATTCTCCAGACATTTATATCCTGGAGGATGTGGGGCCCCCTCATACTAGAATCTCTCTTTCAAAATACTAATTGGGCAACTCTCCCCTTTCCTTCATAGCAAAGCCTACTTCGAATAGACAAATTGGGAACTGAGGCACGATGAGATCACCCCAATCAATTTGTATTTCCAAACAAGATGATGCAAAAAAGGCTTGAATTGTCTAAACCCCTCCAAAAGGAAAAATCCGAAGCTCCCTCATCCTGTCAGGAATGGCTTGAAGCATTTATTAAAAGGGTTCTGCATTTCAGAGGACAATCAAATTATCAATCATACTTTAGCCAATACGGGAAGAGCTCTAAATTCTCCTTTCTAGAAGACATTGGTGGCTGCCTAACAACTTTCTGTGTAATCCCAATGGCCCTTGTAGTCATATTGGCCACACAAGGAATTAAAAGAGCAGGTGGGCTGGTTTTGTCCTGGAGGATGTTGTGCATTACACGACTAGCAAAGCCCCTGTAGATATTGCCTGATGTCCCCCATCTCCAAAATGGTGGTGGTGGGTGTATTGTGAAGCTTCGATAAAATGTGAAACAGCTTGTGGTGGAAGGAGGAGGACGTGAGCTTCTGAAAGCATCCCTGGTGAATTCTATGGATGCTGCCATTTCTTGGTTGACAAATATCCTAAATAAATCTAATATTAATCTAAGCTGCTGGTCTGAAAAGTCAATAAAACCAATTAAATATCCCACTTATTGTGGATATACTATTAGAGTTTGGGTCACTGTATCTCTTTCTCCAGAGAGGGAAAAAAAACCTTCCTTCGCCCACACAAAAATCACCACAATGATGTAATCCCCAATTGTAACTTCAAAAAAGGCAACTACGATCATATAGACAACGATCTCTCATCCCTTGATTGGCAATCTCTATTCACTGGATGCAATACTGTTGAAGACCATTACAACATATTTTTACTTGAAGTCAAAAGAGTCATCAAACTATATGTACCAACAACAACTCCCAAAACAAAACAAAAAAGCAGATTACCCATAACAATAAGGAAACTTCAATCCAAAAAGAGATCACTCTGGCGGAAAAACAAATCTGGTCACGTTGCCAATTTCAAAAGCCGATACAAAAATTTATGCCACCAGATAAAGACCGAATGCACCAATTATCACATTAAACAAGAGGAAAACCTTCTAAGCACCAATTCCACCCGTGCTTTTTACAATTTTGTAAACAACAAACTAAAAGACTCAAGGTCCATCCCACCCCTGATAGGACCTGATGGTAAAGACTGCAACGACGACACCATTAAAGCCAACATCTTTAACACATTCTTCGGCTCAGTATTTGTAAACAGCAATGGATCATGCCCAGTATTTCCTAGCCGTACCACAGATAACAACAATGATCTAATACATATCGATTTTACAGAAGACAATGTTGAAAAAGCACTACGCAATCTAAAACCATCTCTATCTATTGGACCGGATGGAATATGTGCCTACTTCTTAAAAAAGCTATCCACTGCCATAGCCAAACCTCTAAGCATAATCTTTGAAAAATCTTTCAGGACCAGCTCCTTGCCTAACCTATGGTCACAAGCCACAGTCATCCCCATCTTCAAAAAGGGAGACCCAAGCCTAGTTGAAAATTACAGACCAATCTCCTTATGCTGCGTCACCTGTAAAGTCATGGAATCAATTATTAACCAATCCATCATCCTCCACTTAGAGACAAACAACCTACTCTCCAATAAACAATTTGGTTTCAGAAAAAAACTATCCTGTAATCTGCAACTCTTACACTGCAAAAACATATGGACGACACAACTCGACCAGGGCAAAGCAATAGACGCAATCTACATAGACTTCTGTAAAGCCTTTGATTCAGTGGTACACGACAAACTACTCCTAAAAATAAAATCCTATGGTATCTCTGGACAACTGCATAACTGGATAGAAGCATTCCTGGCAAACAGACAACAAATGGTCAAAATTGGGAGCGTCCTATCAAATTCTGTACCTGTCAATAGTGGTGTCCCCCAAGGTAGTGTTCTAGGACCAACTCTCTTCATACTCTACATAAATGACCTCTGTGATCATATTAAGAGCAATTGCGTTCTTTTCGCTGATGATGTAAAGCTGTTCAATACCACAGACAATACTGCTACCCTACAAAAAGATCTTGACTATGTATCAGAATGGTCTAACAAATGGCAACTTCAAATCTCAACAAATAAATGCTCTGTCTTACATATTGGCAAAAAAAATCAGAAAATAAAATACAAGCTGAATAGTCAAGATCTTGTTGATGACCCAAGCTCTGTAAAGGACCTTGGAATACTCACCTCTAATGATCTAAGTGCTAGAGCCCACTGCAACTACATAGCCAAAAAGGCATTAAGAGTTGTTAACCTAATCCTACGTAGCTTTTTCTCTGGTAATATCACACTACTAACCAGAGCATACAAAACATTTGCTAGACCAATACTCGAATACAGTTCATCAGTCTGGAACCCACATTACGTATCTGATATTAGCACAATTGAGAAAGTCCAGAAATATTTCACAAGAAGAGTTCTCCACTCCTCTACTTGTTGTAGAATACCTTATGCCACCAGACTTGAAATTCTAGAACTAGAAAACCTTGAATTACGCCGTCTTCGGTCTGATTTAAGCATGGTATATAAAATCATACATTGCAATGTCCTACCTGTCAATGAATACTTCAGCTTCAACCATAACAACACAAGAGCACACAATAGATACAAACTCAAAGTTAACCGCACCAAACTTGATTGCATGAAATACGACTTCAGCAACAGAGGGGTCAATGTCTGGAATACTCTACCTGACTCTGTGGTTTCTTCCCCAAACCCCAAAAACTTTAACCTTAGACTGTCTACTATTGACCTCACCCCTTTCCTAAGAGGTCTGTAGGGGGCGTGCATAAGCGCACCAACGTGCCTACCGTCCCTATCCTATTGTTTCTCTTATTCTTCTTTTATTTTTCTTATATGTATCCATTTCATGTATTCACAACTATGTATACACTTATACTTATCTTGTAAACAATTGGCAAATCAAATAAATAAAAATAAAAAAATAAAGATCCATCTTACATGTCATTTTTGAAGAAAATGGCAACACCAAATACCAGAATGAGTTTCCTACAGCATCTTGAGCCAAGACATGGCATCATATAATCTTTTCTAGTTCCGTGCACAAATTACAGTATAAGGAAAGAAAAGGGCCATTGGCAACTTCAAATATTGTTATCAAGATATTTTATCATCAAATATTGCCCGAATAACATATTGGAATGATAAATATTGCCTAAGAAGTATCCAATAGTAAGTGATTTACCTCCACTTGACCTGATTTATGACCATGATTGATGTGAAATTGAAGGAGCCAAACAATCCTTTTCAAGTTTCAGGCACAAATTATAGAAATAGAAAAGGTCATCGACAACTTCAAATATTGCGTTATCAAAATATTTCAACATCAAATATTGTCCAAATGACAAATATTGGAATGATAAATATTGCCTAGAAGTCCTTAGACACGTACACAATTATTGTTTCAGGCCAAACATCTTGATTTTCCACCATCTGCATCAGATGTGATCATGGCTGACATGAAATTGAAGGCCCCATTGTTTATCAACCTTAGGACCCACGGTGTGGGACACATTGCTAGCCCCTAGCAGCCCAAACCTGAGGCTGGGAGAACTGTCAGGAAAAAAGTGCTTTTGGTTATCGCTATTTTGTGGAAAACTTCAAATTTGCTTTACCCGTTTGGAGTGAGATTCAGAGAGCAGATGATAGAGGAACTGATTTTAATTCCCATCATCCCCAACCAATGCAAGTAGTGACTATGCTGATTGGGGATAATGGGATTTCACTCGAAACACCCACCTTCCACAATTTGGTCACTCTGCAGAAGTTTCTAATAGCTATCCTGGGCCAATTTGTGTGAGAAAAATGGAACAGATAAATGAGATTTCACCTCATTGCATTTTTCAGAGATGCTCTATTCCCACCCAAAAAGGCGATTTTGTATGTTGCTGTTTTTATTTTACTGTTCTGGGCCACCCAGAGTCACTTAGCTTCTACTTCTATTATCAAATAAATAATCAATTCAGGATTCTTCAAAACTGGATAAACTGTAATCCTGTCCCACTTTGCAATGAGCGTTCCAAAAGAATGCCAGTCGTCTTCCAGGGGAAAAGGCTTTGAGATTTCCACTTCAAAGGCAGTGAAACCCTCAGCAGGGAAACAAATGAGGCAACAGCAACAAAACATATTACAATTTGATAGTGCAAAGATGAAATTTAGGTAGTTTCTACAGCATATGTTCTCCTCCTTATGTAGTGACCAAAAAACTACATTTTAAAAAAGTTGTCAAGTTCTGATAGGACCGTTAGATCTCTTCAGATTTCTCTAGATTACTGAAATATAAGATGTAGCAATCTGTCAAGATTTCACCGCTTTAGGATTTATATGCAGCCTACATTTCTATTGAGGCCTTGTAATTCTCCAGCCCTCTACAAAATGGAGCACCCCAGAAAATAAAGTATTTACATTCCCTTGAACCCTTTGGATGTACCTAGAGCCAATATTGTAGTTATTGTACAATGAATGAATGAAAAATGCATCTCTCCCAAAAGAAAAAAAATTACAATCAATTGTGTGCGTGTGGGGAAAAACTTGTGAAACAAGGAAAGGATTTGGTTTGAGTTTTTAAAAGATGTAGACCTTTTAATAAGTATCTACTCTTTTTATAAATATTGTATTTATATTTTAAAAATGTTTTGCCATGTAAACTGAGTGAATTTAATTCCAGCAACTATTGTTTTATCAGCAAATCTAATTTATCAATGAAACACTACTTCCTTGTTAAAGAAAGATTAAAAACCCTACTTTTTAAGTGGCATCAAGTTGGTAGCAGCTTTTATCAATCAAATAGATTTTCTTCAGCAGGTCTTCTTTCTAATCTGGTCCTTCCATATATCTGTAAATGTCATTTAGCCAATATATACATATATTTAGTTTGTGAAGGGGCAAATAATTACAAAACAGGGTAAACAACCCATGCAAATAATTCAGCGATATTCACTAGTTATTCTATGAAGATAAGCTAGAGGGAGTGACTTAAATTTAATGACTTAGTTAGGATGTACTTTTATAAGTTTGATATATGTATTGAGAGAAAACTCTAGGGTAGTTTTGTATTTATAAAATGAGTTTATAAACATAAGTTTTCTATCTTTCTATGTAATGCTGAATAATTTCCAAAGTTTGTAAAATATTATTGATCAAATTTAAAAATAAGAGAAGAAAAAATTTTACTCTATGAGGAAAATTTGATAGAGATTTAAATCCAATGAACTAATTGGTGTTTAATTGGATTTTTATTGGTATGATATATATAACTGAATGAAAGTTTTAATGTAATTTTGTGTTTAAAGTAAAGTTTTTTTCTCCCTTTATATATAGTTGAGTAATTTTTAAAGTTTGTAACATATTATTGAAAGTGAACTTTTGATACTGATGAGGAACTAAACTGCTATAAAACGCAACCAAATAAAGTAACAGTAAGAACATTTCTCAGTCCCTTCTCTTTCTTCCTACTATATGCATGTGACTTTACCATTACAGTAGATCATGCACAGAACTCTTTGGAAGTCACACTGCAAGGGCAACAACCTTTCAGGCACAATTATAGAAAATTCATCAGAGAAAAAAAGCAGTCTGTATCTACACTGCAGGATGGAACTGCAAAAAAAACCTCTGCAATTTTTAACAGTTCTGAATAGCATTCAACAGCTTTGACATTCAGAAAATATTTGGTCCATTTTTCATGTGAAAGCAGATGTTGGAACTCCTCTTCATCTCTGGAAGCTTCCATGAATTTTTTCAAATTGTTGAACTGAATGAAGCGCTCCATACTGTCAGTTTCCAGACCCTTCTCACGTAAGTATGTTATACATGCTTCCACGTCACTCCAGCTGGGTGTGTCACTCAGGGCCATCCACGCGAAGCAAGAAAAC